ATGGTTCATTACTACACATTTCATACATCTGTAATCTTAAATCCATGAAATGATATATGATTCTAACCAAAGCGTCTAGAGTCCAGCATCTGACTGAATAATGTGCCAAAGGTCTACTGGCTAAATGAATGGCTATACAGCCTTTTTGTGTTTATTAGCAGAGCTGAAGTGGGTTGGATGACATTGTGAACTTGTGTTTATTATCTCATTGGCTGCTTTTGGCTGGCATTATCTGTGCTAACTCTGGGTTTTAAAATGAGGTATAAAATGTGTACATTGGCCTAACTAGTGTAGTGCGATTTCACAAAGTAGTCCGATTTTATGAGCAAACCCATACATCAGTCTGCCCTTTTGGCACAGTTTGTGAGTCCATACTTTGTTTTAAACATATAATATAGATAGAATACATTTATAATTAAGCTAAAAATACATGTTTTATTTAGTTTTTCATGCTATAATATCCCCACAGAGGGAAGAGTAAAGGATCTTTTCATCTTAAACACAATAAATAAAGATATACTACCAGTATAACTCGTACCTAAACTAGCCAATGTTCTAATTGTTACCATGACTAACAGCATAGTACCATCGCCAACAATAACACAATCTTTATCCCTTACAGTCAGTGATAGACTTCAGCTACAGAAATACATATAATATCAGCCCAGCTCAGGAGACACTTTTGTTTTTAGCTCAGTGTTGACCCTTCTATAGCTGCCATTCTCCATCTTAAACAAACAGGCAGACAAGTAAACATCTTCACGCTGTATCCGCTGCCGTCTTCACCTCTTCGGGGAAGCGGAAGAACCCACACAATCCACTCCCCAGCTGCCTGACACAGTGAGGAGGGGCAAGCAAGATGTCAAGACAAAAAAATATATACATGAAAAAAATCACCCGTAAATTTGAATATCTTAGGATGTGTCTTTGCAAAGCACTGTTGTAGCTGCAGGCTGCACACTAGACTTCTTTATACTGTACTATAATGCGTTCTCTTCACAATTATAGCCATGCATTAGAAATTCGGAGTAACTTCACCTTCTAGCTGCTGAATAGCAATTATCCTTGTGTCTTTAGGCATTACCGGAGGGCTATACTGAGAGGAAAAGGTGACAAAGGACAATAACCACACAAACCAAAATGTAGCAAATTTTTTACTTCCAGGTTAAGCTCGGCAAATATTGACCAGTTGGCAAAACTTTTCTACATGAGGTATGCTGTTTGCTGAGGATTTTAAGCTTTCAAAGAGCAAAGTCTCTAGATGTTTAGGGGAGCCTAGAGCATAGACCAAATTAGCGCTACCAAAGCTCATTCCTTGATGTTGTATTCAAATAATAAACGTGGTAAACACATTTTGCTTCACTAGTTCACAACCTGCGCCTTATCAGAAGCAAAATGCAAACCCCAAAAAACTCTCTTATCCGCTCTTCACAGGCTGGACAGCGCACAAGGAAAATGTGGCTTTACTGATGCTACCTCCATCCCTTGGTCTTAAATGATAGTGTTTATACTCCTGGTATATCTTTTCATCCCATTTCAAACTTCCCCTGGCCTGTTTATTTGCCTCTGAGTGCTTTAGGAGACATGTCGCTCTTTTCCTTTAGACTCACGTCTTCTACCATGATCTCAAATGTCAAAATTATAATGGCTGCTAACATACAAACAAAAAATTACATGAAAGGTGGGAGATCTACATGTTTCATATTATTTCTATATATTAGGATTTTAACAATGGACTGTACAACTATGATGCAATGTGCTTAATTTATGCAATGATATTTTCTATTCACATATAATATTTCTGTTTGTTGAATTCAATTATGCGGTCACTGGGGCGCTTTTTAAAGAGATTACAACTTTATAACAAGCATATAAGTTGTGTTAAATTTTTCCAATTTAATTGAATTAAAAACATTTTGTATAGCCCTAAAGCAGTTGTCTCGGAGGTCTTTGCCGATCAAAGTTGTCGATTCATCAAAAAACAGTTTAGAGATCCTAACATTTCGGAACAAACACATAGGAGCCATTGGACCCATTGGGTTCGGGATGACCACTGTCCATAAATGTCCTAAGATCCTCCTGCTTGACAATTAACTTGGGCAGAAGCATCTGTGTGTGTGGATGTGTGAGAGTGTGAGCTTATTATATGAATGTATATATCGAGAGGTAATGAAGAATGGGAGCTGGGTGGTTTAATTATAACTTGTATGGTAGATTCAATTGCAATTTCTGCTCGATAAACTTTTTACAGCCTGCTCAGGGACTACAGGTGTAAATGAGCACTGCTGCTACAACCTGGTACAATGCATCTCTCCTCTTGGCTAATGTTTATTGTACACTGTCCCTGTGAATAATAAAACGAATACCATACCAAATCAGGAGAAAAAAATGGTCATATTTAATCATACTATCCACTCAAGAAGATCCTTGCTAAAGCCATCCACACCAACTTTTATATTTTCCCTCAAATCAATTCAACTTTTAGCTTCAACTCTTTTGCTGCAATAAGAAATCTTATTGAATCCTTGCAGCCATGTTTGATCTACACTGGGAGAATAGCAGAGACACAAGTCATTTATTCTTGTACACTGACTTATCCTCCTGGGTTTCTCTTGAGTATCACGCTGTAGGCCACTTCTGCAAACTGCTCAATCTCAGCACACGCTTTACCTTGCTCCACTGTTGCCAGAGGGTCGCAAAAACAAACACAGAAAATACCACTGAAGTTTCACAAGGGGAATATGAGCCCTTGGGGATTGGAGCTTCGAATCGATGCAAGTTAGTGGCCCTAAAGTATTTCCATGCACATTATGCTGCAGTTGCTCAATATAAATTAAAAATGTAAACGGGAAAGGGATGGATGCTTATCTAGGGGGATGTGATTTCCTCAGTTTTAAATGTTTTTGATATGAGTTGGAGGAATAGATTGTGCAGCCAGGAGTGAGACAGAGCGAAGCAGATGGGTCAGTGAGAGGACAGCCACCGAAGGATGAAACCCCGCTTTGACTCACCGCTCCTGTGTCTCATTTAGGACAAAAAGCCCATTGTTTGAATGAGGATAGACCTTTACAGCAACCTTTTCAGACTTCTGCTACAAGTAGAACATTTTTGTTGAACTTGATGTGTAAATGTGCTAAAGTTGGAAAAAGTAACTTGATTTTGATGGGCCAGTAGGAAAGGAGTAGTAATATACTGTATTTGTTTCCATTTTGACAAAACTTTGTGCTGTAGAATCATTATTTGTTCACTTAGGTCCCTATTATTGTGAACATTGAACGTAGTAAAATACATCTACTTAGTTCCTTGCTCTCGAAACAGTTAGGGTTTATCACAAATTTTTTGCGGTTTTTGGCCTCTGTCACATATTTGAATGAACTTTTCAAACATCAAAATAAGTAAAGGGACAACCCTAACTTACTGTAGCCAATCAGCTCTCAACCAAAAAGTCAAACAGTGACTAACAAAGAGGCAAAGAATAACATGCATGCAGACATCATGTTGTGGTCTGACATTCCCACAAAAATATTGGTACAAGACTTAGTTCTGTAGGTACAAATAAAATGTATTATTCAT